GCTGCAAAATTTTTACACGTCCGCCCTATGGCAACTTTAGTTTATTACTTTCATGTTTTTACGAAATGAATTATATTAATGAAAAAAAGGAAAACAACAACAAAAAACTCAGTTCTCTGGAGGAATGCACTAAGCTGCCTGAAGCAGTTTTTTTTTGCTGGAAAAAATACGGAAATGGAAGTTGCCTGGAAAGATAATTTTGAACTAACAAAATGGTAAATATGCTATGTCAAAATTTTAAATCTAAATTGTTTGTCCATTTAAAATACTACATTTATTAGAAAATATATTAATTTTAAAATACAGAAGTCATAAAAATGACTTTGTGGTAAGCGTGTTCACGTCAGAAAGTTACCAGTGTGGATATGTGTTGTTAGGATATTTATTTTATCGGAACTTCGAGAATAAAACTCAAGGTTTCAAAATAAATAATATATTTTTATTTATTTTATAATGAGTGAGTCCGTTGGTATTCAGCAAAAATTCGTTAATTAGGCGGATATTGATAGCTGTCTGGAGAACTGTCGGCTTCGGTAGTTTGAAGTCAGACTATGATAGGGATAGTAGTAATCTCAGAGAGTAGGTCATTGTCAATCTACTGTTATTTTTTTCTGCTGTGAGCAGGGCGGAAATATCAGTAGCAAATGACCTTAACTGCTTCTTCACGCGTCATGCATGGCTGGTTTATAGGCGGTATCAGGTTTATATTCTTTTGACTAGGCTCGAGAATTTGGCGCAAACATTGGTTTCGGCTAACATCAAAAGTCTCTTTGTGTAATTTTTTTTTTATTGGCGAAAATTATTTTATTTTCTGGCATTCTTTTCTTTTTCATTTTTTTTTATAACGGAAGTTATGCGTGAAATTTCCCTGATTTTTGGTATTTTTCAGTCACAAATAAGTAGGCACTGCTCATACAAACTTCCGGCGTTTTGAGCCGGGTTTAGTCTTCTTCTTCCTCTTTTTATTTGAGGGTTGCCTTCTCGTATTTTGAGAGAAGTATAGAAAGAGAAGAGAGAGAGAGAGAGAGAGAGAGAGAGAGAGAGAGAGAGAGAGACCGACAGACAGACAGAGACAGAGAGAGACAGAGAGAGATGGGTTTTAAAGGAAAGCGCAAATGCCTTATTTTAATTTTGATTTTTTTTTATATATTTTATTTATATAATTTATTTTTATCGGGACTCATTACAATTTCAAAGGGCCGCTCTCTTTTTCTGTTACCGCTCTTGACACAGATGTCCATTTCAATTTAATGCAAATGGTGTGTCTATATGTTTGCATTTGCAAGTATATTTTAATTCAATTACAGACCTAAAAAATATTTCTACGAAATTAAAAAAAAAAAAACTTAAAAAATAATTCTATTTATTACCGAATAATTTTCGAAAAGTTAAAAAAAAATGATCTGATTATTTTAAGGTTAATTTTTTTTTGTCCCCATCTTTATGAGTCCATTGCCCAGATAAGTAAGATAGGACAGATTAGTGGACGGGGAATGTATTATTCCAGTGTCTTTCAAAATCAGTCAAATTGTCTGCGTAGTGTGTCTGTATGTGCTTGTATACATTAAATGTCCCAAGAAGCAGATGTAAGTCACTCACACAAAACACAGACATTGCATATTACATACGCGCATGCGCAGTCGCACACATGACGGACAGAGAATCAGTTCTTATATAATAGATTACACTTATAATTCAAGCAATACCTCTCTTTCAGAAGGAGGCTGGGGTCATTACAAAAGGGGAAGTGCCAGGAGAGGGGGGCTTGAGCAATTTTTCCAGGGTATTGCAGCATTGCTGTTATTAAACCCACATTAAACCTCGGACATGTGTTGGTAGCAACGTGAGTGCACTGAAAATTTAGATTACAAATCATTCATTACGTCTGTAATTTTTTTTTTTTAATTGTACCGTACCTCTTAATTAAAATTATCTACTGTTTGAGAAAAAAATGAAATTGAGATTTGGATTTATTTGGAGTTTGTATTGGCGGCAAGTTGGCACATTGATTCACGTTTCCTATTCACTATGGAAATCGATATTTTGTCTTTATTTAGCCAGTCGACAGTTGTCCTCTGTTTGTATTGACCCCTCACCTAAAATAGTTAACCCTCACCTAAAATAGTTGTGGATAGATCACATTTAAACCCCCACAAAGTCATACAGAGCGATGGGACGCTAAAAAGTAAAAACTGTTCAAATACACAACTCTCTCTCCCTTTCTTCTAAACTAGGCAGTAAAAAAAATATGAGAAAACAACATTGCTCGCAGGAAATTACCTGTAAGAGTAAATATTTAGAGCAAATTACTGAGTGAAAAAATGCTACAAATGCACTAATGCATTCTAAATGTCTGAATCCAAAAAAAAAAAAAAATACATCGTTTTTGGTAACGGTTAAGCAAGTGTCAACCGTTTTTTAATTTTTGCATTAAAAAATGGTTTAGATTTTGTTTTTGATATACATTGCCACACACTTTAGCCACCGGGTAGAAAATATTTTTGTAGATATTCCAACATTTAATATTTAAAAGAAATGTTGTTTTTTTTTGTTTTTTTTTTTATCAAAATCGATTGAATAAAGTCAGGTTTCGCAAAAATTGAATTTTTCGCACGTGATCAGTCACTGAATTTATATCCTGATGTACAGTAAAAATTTACTATTTGGAAATGTAATGTATTAGTAAATGGAGAGTTAATTCCCTTGTAACTATTTATCGAGAACAATCACATTTCAATAAGGCGCAGTACCTGCAGCTACTAGCGGTCAGAGTTAGTCACCCCATGGGTTGCTACAGATAAGCACAAAGTACATTTTTTTTCTTGTCATTTACTATTACAGTTGTCCAGCATGGCACAACATTAACAAGATATATAACAGAGAACTCCTTGCGAGCCACACTTGGTAGTCTCGTGGGTTGCATGTGACAAGTGAGCCGTGTTTTGTGAAGGCCTGTTTTAAATCGCTTATAGTCTTGCTTTCATACATTTTTACTTCTTTTACATTCCACACGACTTCGTACTTGACTGTTACACTAACATCTAAGTTAGTGTTATGCGTGTTATTACAAAAGAAAATGCATAACAGAAATAGAACATTTCGACGCTTTATCGCTACTATTATTAGCAAATGAATGTATTTAAATTTACTCCAACCAACAGCGATTGGTTGAAAATTCTCGTTTTATAATTTGTGGCCTGTTTTCTACTACGTCCGCAAAAAAATGTTAATCTTATTTTAGATTTTATTTTTGACGTCTTTTTCCTGGAGTATAAAAATATACCAATTCCGATAAGCAACATACTCGTCAAGAAGACGAATATACTGCGCACCTCCAACTGCAAAAAAAAAAAAAAAAAAAAAAAAAAAAACGCTTAAAAATGACTGAAGTCCTTATCATTAAAAATATCAACATCAATTATGAACACGGTCAAAATGTCCTGGCTCTATTCGGGAATTAAAAAATATGTCAACCTTTCAGTAACTCATACATCGATTACAATAGCTTTTACACACCATTTACAATAACACAACTAAAATCCTTGAAAATGGTTAATAGATTAACCTAAATCGCTCGGAACGAACAATCATTTTGACAATTCCTGCATATATTAGGTCCAAGAAAGAAATCTCTTGTTTGTATGCAAAAAAAAAAAAAAAAAAAATACAATAAAAACTTAGTAGAAGAATTTATAGAGCGAAGACAGAAATAAACATCAAAACAATCCAACACCAAATGACAAAAAATGGTTTTTGAGTCAGAGAATTCACGCATCTTTCCGGTTAATAAATTAATGTTTTGAAAATAAATATTTAACATTTTTCAACTAACTGGTCCCGTTTCCGCCAACAATAAAAACCATGCTTCATGAGCTCTTTGAACGATATTTAAGCAAAGTTTCTAGACCAGACAAAGTAGTAAGAAGAAGGAACGGCAACATACGGTAACAGTTCACAACGCATATGGCTTAAAAGAAATTTCCTTACTCATTCACCCTCACCAAACTACGTGACACTTACACTTTCCATCTCACTTTTGCCCTTTTCTATTCTTTCTCACACATAAACAACTACAAACTGGTACTGTGAGAACTTTAATACTCATACACGCTAAACAATTTAGTTGTAAAAATACGAAAATAAAAGTATTTTATTTTATATTTAAAAACCTTTCTCGACTTTTTCTTTGTTGTGGGTTGATTCAAATTTTGTCAGTTATTTTTTAATGAAACATGTAATAGAGAATGATTGCTGTCCCTCATATATATATATATATATATATATATATATTGACCATTTATACGCACCTAGAATCTTTACAGTTTACATTTTGAATGCTTTAATCCTTATTTTAACTGTTTCATGTTTAACGCATTATTTGTATGAAGAATAATAGAAACCAAAAAAAAAAACCCCAAAAAAACACAAAACAAAACAAAACAAAAAAACAAACACTGATCTGGCGACTAAATAAAGTTTTTATTTATTTTGGATGCTCTATCTCCAGGTCGGTTTAAATTTTAATGCAACAAAAAGAAATAAAAAAAGATATAGTAGGAGCACTGTTGCAGACGATACAGCTGTAATTAACCATGAAATTTAAAATTAAGAAAATATTTGCCTTGTTTGGTTGATTGTTAAAGAAATTAATTAAATACTTATTTCCTTTAAACAAACATTTCTTTATTTTCGTTTTGATGAATGACACTATCCTGAAAATCCTCTCTTTTCATTTTCTTTTTTTTTTTTTACAATTTAGATTTTTTTTATTTATTTCGATTTGTATCCTTTTAAAAAAGAAGAAGAAGAAAAAACTTTTTAAGCTGTCTCAGGTGTTGAGGAGGTACATGAGTTATCTCCCTTCTCTAGATTTTTACCCCTGTCCCTGTTTTAAGATGGCTGCCTCCTGGCTGGGGTGTCGTTGTCGATGGTAATGCCAAAGTTTGTTTTAAAAGTCTAAGTCCATCTTTGGAATAAACCAGACGTAGAGAAGCTGCGTTATGTTTCTCCCTATCCAATGCAGACCGCTCGGCTCATGGGATAAAGCAAAACTCTACAATGCCTGCAAAGGTAATGTTTACTTTGTAAACCAACCACCTCTCTTTGGTTCTTCTGCCTACCTCCTTCTTGTTTATTATTACGGCATTACCAATTTGCAGTAGTCTTTTTCTCCTCTTTTTTGTCCATTTGACAGTGACTTGTTTATTTAGCATTGCAATCTTATGGCTTTTATAAACGGCTTTCAACAAAGACATCTAAAAGATGTCTTTACCGTAAAAAATATGTTCACTGTTTTAGTTTTTCAAATGCTAAAAAAATAAAACGCGACCTGTGTTGTTCATGTGGACAGTCATAAAATGGGGGATCAATTTACAACATAGTATAATTATAAAAACAACCCTCACTTTGTGACCATCATGTACAAGTATTCACATTTTTTTGGTTTATGTATACAAGTAAAGTTAGTATATATATAAACACATGTAAGCATTTAACGTATTACGTTATATCACAAAGAAACGTTTTGCTCTTGACTTAAATATTGTAGTTAAAATTTAAAATATATTTCCAATAATTCGATTTGGTCAAACAAAAATGTTGTTTATTATTCGATTCTTTGTACAAAAAGAAATGTTTTATTGTATTCGCAGTTATAATTTCATAATATACCTTTTCTCTCTTTCTCTCTCTAATCTTTTCCCATGGTCTCTTTTACTTATCTCACCATTTTGGTCAAATTGGTATTTTTTGAATGTTGTCTTTTCGTTTTTTTAAGATAGTATTTTTAATTTTTATGAAATAATTTGCGGTACTTGATTGAATTGAAATAAGTTACTTTTATTCTCAAATTTTGGGGTTGTTTTTAAATTTTTTTTTTTTTCGTCTCTTGTTTTTATTTGAACTTTAGTGTTTAGTGCGGTCAAACATTTTTCTAAGTTAAGATTATTTTTAGCAAATTTAAACTGTTAAAAAGTTACAACGAACACCGAAAAAAATTTTAAGAAAAAACAAAACATTGATTGGGAAAGTTAAAAATTGTATTTTATTTTGAGTTAATAAACTAAAAATTATTATTATTATTATTTTTTTTTTTCTTTTTTTCGGTCTTTGTATTTTTATCTTTAAAAAATGACAAGAATTCGCTTTCTCTCTCTGTTAAAGGCTTTATGATGTTGAAAATAACACTTTAATAAAAATAAAATTTACTTGGCTGTTTCTATTCAAATTGTTGATACAAACCAATGTTTTTGCCATCGATTTTTTTCCTTGTTGTTGTCTTCATAACCGTTACATTTGGTAGATTTTTTTTTTAATCCAAAAATAATTTAATTGAAATAAAAAAAAAAAAAAAATTGACACGAACCATAACTGGCAGATGAAGTTAGTGTTACTTTATTTATTTATTTATTTTTTTAACAAATTATGGTCAGCAGTAACAATAAAATATTTGATTTTGATATATTGAATTTTTCTTTTAAAGGTGATCAGATAAAAAAAAGTAATTGAAATAATTTTTGTTTAATATTGGATAAGAATAAAAGTTAAACAAACATGAAATTGAAATATTTTTTTAAAGGTAAAGAATTTTTTTCTTATTTATTGTTTTTTAGGCTGTGACTATGAAGAATTCCACTTTATGAGCAGAAAAATATTTTTTAGCAAGTGGCAAAAAAAAAAAAATGATTTGAAGTAGCATCTGCATACAGCTTATAATTTTATTTCTAGGATTAAATTTTAAGGACAATGAGTGCTTGTGAGCACAAAACTGGAGGAACTGTGGGACTTTTACTTACGACTTAAATAAGGGTCTTCAAAGGGCCAAGTACCAAAGATTGATGTAATTTTGTTTATCACATTTCTTCTCACTATTTAAAGCTATTCAGAACAACTTTAGTTTCTTCCTCCCACTCCTAATCTACTGTTGGAAACTGCCAAGTGAGAGTAAATATCCATGTTCTGCCTTTTTTTTTCTTCCCATATTGCACAAGCCATCTGTGCCAGATGGGCAACACTAGATGCTGTAAAAAAAAAAAAAAATATTTTTAGTCCTTCCTTGCCAAAGTGTGGCAGACAGTGTCTCTTTTGAATAATTCTTCGTTGTTTCTGTCACAAGATCCATAGACAACAAAACAATATCTGGCAGATTTTTTGATATTAGCCTTAAACTTAAAGTGTATCCATAAAACAAAACATTGTATAAAATGTGAAAATGTCATCATGAAGAAATAATAAATAAATGGGATGTAATGTTGTTCCAACATCATCTATTTATTTTACAAATTTAACTTTATAATGACTTTTCTGTAAGAAGTGAACTTGTTTAATAAAGCTTTCACTTATTCCGGTTACTACAGTCCGTATTATGCAAATTTATATAAAAACTCAATAATTTGAATTTGCTTTGAAAAATTTTTGTCAAATTTTAAATGATTCATTTAGATATCAAAACAAATCTCGAGTTAGATTTTTAGGTAGTTTTAACATGTTTTTTAAAAGTTATTCGATTTATAAAAACTGCAGTCTGAATACATCTGTAACTAGTAAGCTATGCAGGTTAAACTAATATTAGTTTAAGGCCTCTGAAAGCTAATAAAAAATTTTTTTTCCATAATATATGTTGAAGCATAGGTAATGGAAAGGATCTAAGAAATGATGAAAAACAGAAAATAACAAAGTTATTGAGATAATGTCCACATTGGAGATATGAAAGAAGCTTCATAGAGATCATCAAACGATAAAGAGGGCTGTTGAAAATAGTTGAGAAGGAAAAGAAAAGCCTTTAAGAACGTCTCTCCTCAAGGGTAATGTAAACTAAAGTGAATTGTAGTGAAACAATCACTTTTGACCAATGCTCAGATTTTTGAAAAGGCTGGAATTGAGGGAATCAAGAAGGACAAACGGTTTAGAATACTTTTAAAATTGGGATCTGTCGAGAGATCTCTTAGGCAAAATCCTTTTAGTAAAGCAAATATTTTAACGCATGAAAATTGAGTTTTCTAAAGTAATTTTCATGGACAAATCTCTGAACACTAGATGGACCTGCCAAATGGATTTTATCTGAAGCAGATGTGCCTGTGGCTAAAAGACACCAAGAAGGCGGCAGTGTGATGATTTGGGCTGGAATTGTCAACCAAATCATTATTGGACCATTCAAAATCTATGAAGGGCTAACTACTGTGATTTCATGAACAAGACTTTCTTTGAATGGTACAGTTTCAAAGTGAAGTGTGTATTTGTGCATGGCAATGTTCCTTTACATATATCTGTGAATGTTTTGAGCATAAAAAAAGGTTTACAGGAGAGAAGATAATGAAATGGTCAGCATCAAGAGCCAACCTGAATCTGATTAAAAATCTATGGTCAATTGTGAAGATGGAATTAAAGCAGACCTATAGGAAGCAAATAAACCCACCATAATGAAAATTGAACCTGCTGACATAATTGATTTAGCAAAATCAATGGATAATAGATTGCTGACTATTATTGAGCAGAAGGGTCACTATGTTAAGCTGTAAATGTTTCAAAGACTTAAATATGTTTATTTGTTTTATTATATCCGTTGATGATTTTATTACATTACTGAAGTAAAAAGTGATTTTCAGGTTTTGCATAACTTCAGACTGCAGATTTTATAATAAATTCAATAACTGTAATAAAAATGTTGAAACCATCTAAAAAATTTAACTTTAGCTTTTTTTGATGTCTAAATTAATCATTTAAAATATGAAATTTTTTTAAAGCAAATTCAGTTTATTGAGGTTTTTGTGAATTGCATAACTTCAGACAAACTGTCTATAATTAGGTAATTCTGAAAAATAGGTTTGTAGATAATCAATATTTTTCTAAAAGTGTGGTTGCTTTAATGCTTTCCATATAATTCTTAGAATATTCACGAGAAGTGACTGATTTTCAAATTTGTTAAGGCTTATAGATAAAAAGGGTTGATGATGCATGTGGGTAAAGTGGATGTATTTAAGGCAATCAGAAAATGGTAGTCCTTTCAAATTTGATTAATTGTAGTTGGAGATATGTCCAGATACACACTTAACATTATAAAGTTAACAAGTAAAAAATAATTATGAAATTGACAAAATTTAATACTTCAAAGAACAAATGTACTATTTTTTTCTTTTTTTTTTTTCTAGTGACTGAAAAAATGCATTATAACTGCTACTTCAAGAAAGTGTTCATTCTGACTTATTGTTGGTTGTAATGGTTGTATATTTTCATATACAGTTCTTTTCCTAAGTTTAAAATTGAATTCCATTAGTAGGTTGAATGTATCAGAAATTGGGCTGTAGAATCTATCATATTCAATATTTTAATTTAACTGGAATCTAGTATTTTTTTTTTTTATGGTAATGGTTGGATTTATTTCTATTGTCATAAACAGGTGTGAATTTATTGGCTTAGAATCCAGTTACTAACTAGTAAATCTGAGAGCATATTAAAGTGTGCTACAATTCTTAGTTTATTCTTATTTTGAGATCTATAGAAAGTACCAGAGAAGATGAATATTTGGTAAGTGTAATGAATTCCTTGGTGTTAGCAAAATTAAGCAGCTTCTTTGATTCGGTGCTTGAATCTAATTGTCTAAACTTGTTGATGCCTGTTTACTTCAAAAGATATTTGTTGATTTACAGTCATTAGATTTAGATTAATACTTAGTTGCAAGGATTTTGTTATTGGCCCTTCAGCTTTATTCCTTCTTAAAGAAGGCTTTTCAAGATCACCAACAAAAGAATTTGTAATTATAAGAATTTATGATTAATTATGGACCTGTGTGTATATATATATATATATATATATATATATATATATATATATATATATATATATATATTATATATATATTATATTAGATATTACCTAAGACTATCCTTGTCTTCATGTGACCCTGTTAAGTTTTTTTTTTTTTTAATACCTGTGGGGATTTGATGTAGCTTGTGAAGTTCAAAAGAAAGCCAGCTCCTGCTTCAGTCACTTTCTACCTTTTGCTGATTATTGCAACCTGTCATCACTTTCTGTTTCCTGCACATGCAATACTTGTATACTATGTTTTCGCATAT